ATCTATCTATCTATCTATCTATCTATCTATCTATCTATCTATCTATCTATCTATCTATCTATCTATCTATCTATCTATCTATCTATCTATCTATCCAGCAGATGCTCGCATTCACAGTTGAGGGAATGAAACCACATCACCCAGTAGCACCCGTCTCTTTCTGCCCTGAAATAGGGTGTTGCTGGGGTGTCAGAGGATCACACCCCTATGTGTTTCCCACCTGCTCCAAAACCCACCCTATACTCTCTGGTATTGTAGCCACAGACACACAACCCATACACGCTCACTCGCACACACTCAACTACAGTACCCCTAGACAAAGAGCACAAAGCACAAAGGTGATGTAGTGACAGATGCTCCTGTCACATGCTTAGCATATCTCCACCTCCAAAACAGCACAAGTGCAGAAGTCAGTCTGTCTCTCTCTCTCTGTCTGATTTCACTCCGTGGAAATCATCAGCGCTACTATTTTCATGCATTTCTACTCCCCAACGGATAAAAGCGGCTCTTAAACTGCAATCCTTTACCCAATATTTATCCAATCTGACCAAATACTATAATTAATGCCTCTGTCTCTCCTCTCCTCTCTCCCCGAGGCCAATATATCCCCCACATCTCCCTCCCTGTCTAACCTTTCAGTGCCAAGTTCACAGATAGAGAGAAAGTACTTCCTGTGAGAGGCCGGGCTGGCTGCCAGAGAGACTGATCCACCAATCTGACACGTTAATGAGATCCTGGCCCGTAGTACTGGAGTGTCAGGCCTCCTCTGCTGCAGCATCAGCCCTGGCGTGACCTGCGCCACACACACATCCACGCACACCGAAGCCTCTGCTCATACGTATAATTTTTCTCACACACTCACAGGAATATAAGCATAAATGAATCAGAGTGTTTCTACACACACACACTTTAAAGGAGAAAGGGGGGCTCCAGCTCCTTAAATCTGTCTAATTAAAACACCAAATCCCTCTACTCCCCTCACCCACCATCCCAATCCTCACTTCTCATCCCCACCCCACACCCCCCACACCCTTCTTCTGCACACACACAGGCACCCAGCCCTCCTCCATCCCCACTGCCACCACCCCCGATTCCGCAGGAGAAATGATTATTAGGAATTTAATGGGGGAACGTTTCCCATCCCACACCATCTGGGGCTTGGGAATGGCACAAAATTTGAGGATGCTTGCCGACGTGGCGGGGAACATTATTTTCATTTTTCTTGACTGGTGCTCAGATTTTCAGACATCGCAGGAAAATGTTCCTGATTACAATAAATTACCATAATATATCACAAAGCAGTATATTTTTATATATAAAGATGCATTTTTTGCGCACGCGTTTTTCTGCGCGTGGAGATTGCACTAAACTCTTCACAACTTCTCTGATGATCATTGTCATTTTGCAACTCATCGCTATAGAAACGCGATGATTGTTTTTGCACTAATTATGACACCACGTCTCCGATTACAAATGTACCTCCGTACAGTATATACCCCACATTACTGTCCTTCACCTCCCACATAGAGCCGGGCCATATGCTCGCTCGCACCCTCTCCCCCTCTTTCTCTCTTTCCCTCTCCATTTCTCCTTTACTTCTTTCTCCAACTGTCTCTCTCGCTCTTGCCACCAGGCTTAATGAGCTGCATGAATTGAATGCGCCTGTACACGTTTGACCCCGTGCTAAACTGCAGCACGCCGCCCTTTGAACCCTGTGGGCGTGTGGCACCCTCCTCCCTATACTCCCACTCACCCTCGTCAGCTTCTGTAGGGAGCTCCACGAGGGATTTGAACCTGCTTCTCCTCAAAAAAAAAAAAAAACACTCTCGCAGACACAGACACATACACACCTACACTCGTGTTAGTTGGACTAGGACTGGGAATTTAAAAAAAACGGGTGTGGGTTAGAGGGGAGCTCTAGCAACTCTTTTTTAGTTAAAATAAATTTTAAATTGAGTTTTTCTTCACTGTTTTTTTGTGTGTTTTTTATTTGATTGTTTGTTTGTTTTTTGAGAGGATGTTTCTTGATTTTTTGGAAATAAAGTTCTGTAAATACAGTTAGAGTTATACTTTCGACATGAACGTAAATAACAAAAATAAAATGAGTTTGGTTTTGTCTGGTTTGTGAAACCACTTAGAAGTTTGAGATCTGTCTGTCACTCCCGATTTGCGATTTTTTTTCCACCTACCTAACTTTCCATGACGGAATTGGACATTTATCAAATGCACCGACAAAATTTGCGCAGTTACTTTAAGTCTTACTTTATCTGTAACACACACACACACACACACACACACACA